TCCGAGTGACTATCTCTTTCTGGCAATAACATGGCAACTAGAGATGAATTTCATGGCATTCCAAATGAGAACTGGCTCTATTTTAGTATATTGTAGAAAGAGAATCCTCTTCTTGTCATTGTCTGCAAATATATTTTATTTAGCGTTCCAAAATATAACAAGAATCCATTAATAAAACAAAAGAAGCGTATCTATCTTCGTAAGTTACATATAAGCTATTATCACAGTCAACAGGCTGCAAATTCAATTCAGAGTAGTACAAATGTACAAAGAAACAAATGATACAAACTCAAATGTCAAATCTTTACAAAACTTCCACAACCATATATATTAGGCTAACCAAGACTTAAATAAACACTCGTTGAACGCTTCACGTTTGATTACGATAGCTCATGAGGTAAGCTAAAGTACCTCGCCGGGAAGTCCACTCTGCGCCTGCGGCGTTTGTTGAGAAAGAATGCCACAAACGGAGCAAATACTATGAATCCTGTAATCACGGGATACGCAAAGAGGAAAACGACCAGTATGATATATCCAGGGCCAGGTGTGCCATCTGAAGTTGGGAATGTAATGTTTAACAATGCGAAATTAGCAATCCCTAAAGCCGCCGTGGAACCATAAATGACCTTCCACATAGGTAGTCCAACTGTGAGGACCATGATCACATATAGAGATGAGAAGAATGCAATTCCGTTAGGGATATAAAAAAATATGGCTTCGTAGAAAGACATAATCATCTCTCCAGCGTGGTGAGTATTGCTATCTCCGGGCTTTGAATCTTCCTGCCAAAATCCGCCAGGAGGACTAAGATTAGCCTGGTATGTAGCTGTTGCTATCAGTATAGCCACCACAAGTATTACACTGCGACTGTCGTTACTACTTAGAGATTTTTGTCTAGTCTTGCTCATCAGATTGGTCAGCCCAAAGAGACTGTTCCATTTTTCGATAGACGATGGTTTTTTGCTCAAATATCCCGCAAGAGTCGTTGTGGTACCAAATAGTAGTCTTTCTTTAGCACTGTGGAATAAGCTGCTTGCTTCAGGGGAAAGAGGAGATTGGTGAGCTTGGAGTATGTCCATTGCGGTCTTACCATCCAAGTTCTTGGCTTTTACTTTGACGGTTCCACGTAGCAACTTCATGACCTGCAAAATCGAACACATGCCACCCAGAGTTTAGGAATCCCACATTGATTAGAAGATGAGACATAAAAAGGGTATACACTTAAGGTCATGGGATACCACATTGATTAGAAGATGAGACATAAAATTGGGAAGAGAAGAAATTAAATTACCAAGGAGACATGTACCTCAGTTTGATTAATCGATGCAGCAATATGGAAGACTGTGTTACCATCTTCATCCTTCCAGTCCAAGATTTCCTCCCTGTTTTCTCTCTTGAGCCATCCCAATAGAATCTTAAATGCTTCAATTTGGTGGTTCTTCACAGCAATGTGCACTACTGTCTCACATTTAATCGTCAAATCTTCTACAGAAGAAGGACAAGAACACAAGAGCTCACTCAACAACTCTGAATCACCTATTCGAGCCACATGATGCAAAGGAGTAATCCTTCCTTTTCCTTTGATGCTGACTAAGCTGCTGTCGATTGCCACAAACCCCCTCACCATCCGAATATGGTTGTTTTGCAGAGCTAAATGCATTGGACTGAAACCTGACACGTTTAGCTTTAAAGCAAGGGACGGCTTAAGGGTCATCAATTCCATGGCGAAATGAGTACACCCTTTTTCGGCTGCAATGTGTAGTGGCGTCTCACAAAAAGGCACTTTATCAAAGTGTCCTAGAATATTTGGATTTTCTGCAATCAACTCGTAGAGTCTCTCAATATCCCCATCTTGAGCCGCCTTCTTCAATCTGTCATAGATATTCTCATCTTGATTAATATCTGATACTCTATTGACATCCACAACAATCGACATGACTGCACTGGTCACCCTGTCTTTTTTGTTTTGTTTTTGCTCCTGCAATATAGGCTTAAGTAAAACACAAAGTCTCCACATGAAGTACTTTGACTATTCTCAACATAGACCATAAAAGACTTTGACTATTCTAATTTCAGACCACTCGTTTTCCACATGAAGTACTTTGATTATTCTCAACTCAGCTCCACTAAAGTCCATACCACCATTTCTTTCTGGCAATGATATGACATATAGATAGATTATTGACTTTTCAAAATGACAACTGGTTTTTATTTTAGCATATTTTCGAAGGCGAATTTTCTTGCAAATTAACTTTATTTTAGCGTTCCACAGCGAGGGTTTAGAACAACATTAAATCTTTTGTCACACTCATGGAAAATTTGTCCCACTACCAATGGAAATTCTACACATACCCTTTTTGCCAGTAAAATGCTTGAAGAAAATAAATTACTCTCAATAATGGGTTACGACTTACTAGTCTGATCTTCGACTTCCTATGTAACCGCCATATAGTTACTGCAAAACAAGAAGAAAGGATTCTGTGCTGCGGAACCCAATAACAATCTGCAAGTTCATTAACCGTAGAGTGCGAGCTGACTAACGGAGCAGCTTGGTAAGAGCCTGTCATAGTAAAACATATCCATAGAAGAGATAGCTTGATAGAAAGTAACCATTTTCATTTATCATTCATTATTCAAATCCAAATGACATTTCTCAAGCAGAAATGTTAAACTACAAACTTTTCTTCTGCTTCCACGAATAAAAAATTCTGCAATGTACAAACCTGGCTTGGTCCAAAAAAATTCGGATACAAAAATATCTGCTCGAGCTCGACTTTGGTAGTTTAGGACTGGTTTAGACCCAGATATCATAGCTCAAAAGCAAAAAAACATAAACAAAAAAGTTGAAACTTGAGGACAAAAACTGGTGAACTAACACAAAAGGGGGGAAAATGGTTCTGCAAGTACTCTGAAATCTGATAAGACTAGTCTGCATAAACCCAATTAATAATAGTACAATTTAACGACATAAACTCAATGTCAATCATAAGAAAGATTAAACAAACGAGACACCAAATATAAATGAAAATCTGGAAGAAGAGATGATCCCAGACAATAAAGAGCTGAACGCTTCATTAAGATAACTCCTGAGATGAGCTAAAGTACCTTGCCGGAAAGTCCACTCGATACCGGCAACGTTTATTGACAAAGAACTTCACAAACGGAGCAGCTACTATATATCCAGTAAGGACTGGGTACGCGAAAACGAAGAGGAACAATATGACATACCCGGGTAAGCTATCTGGATTCGGGAATGTATTGCTGAAGGATGCAAAATTAGCGATACCTAGAGCAGCTGTAGAACCGTAGAGGACCATCCACATGGGGAGTCCAACTATGAGAATTATGATCACATATAGAGATGAGAAGAATGCAATTCCGTTGAGGATGAAAAAAAATAAGGCATTGTAGAAAGACATAGTCATCTGCCCAGCAACATGACTATTTTCATCTCCAGGATTTGAGGAATCATCTTGCCAAAATCCGCCAGGAGGACTGAGACCTGCCTGGTATGTGGCTGTTACTATCAATACAGCCACCACAAGTATCGCATTGCGGAAATCACTCGTATTTAGAGACCCATGTTTAGTCTCCGTCTTGCTCAAATTTCTCAGTCCCAAGAGACTGTTCCGTTTCTCAATAAATGATGGTTTTTTGCTCAAATATCCCGCAAGGGTCATTGTGGAACCAAAAAGTAGCCTTTCTTTAGCTCTGCGGAAAAGACTGCTTGCTTTGGGAAAGCAAGGAGATTGGTGAGTTTCGAGTATGTTTATCGCGGTCTTACCGTCCAGGTTCTTGGCGTTTACTTTAACGGTTCCACATACCAAGTCCGCGACCTGCAAAACCAAGCCAGGCACACATCATCCAAAACTCAGGAAAGAACTATTAGGAATTCGAGATTGATAAGAAGATGAGAGTATGCGAC